ATAGAGCTGGTGGAGGCATAAACCCCAAAAGACTAGCAGAAACAAAACAAAACAAAAATTTCATTTGTAAAACGATTTATTCCTTTCTCTTCAACATTACACACTAACAATTTGCAACAAATATTAGAACCAGAACGAGAAGAGTCCCAAAAATGTACATTGCCGTTTGTGGCGCTAACACATTTGGCAAAATGTAATGTCTGCTGCTTGTTTCATAATGGGTGACCCGTGACGTTCTTATGATGTCAAGCACTTTGCACCGCCTGGCTGCTGAAATGTTCTACGCAAATAAACTTGACCTGACGAAATGCAGAATCGTCAAGCTTAAACTTGCACTCGTCCCCATAGAAACGCAGGAGAAAAGCCGTCCTTAGCCAGACGGAGTGTAAAATCCCCTCCGCATGTCCCACCTCTGCTGATTAGCCGTCTCCTCGTTCGCCGCACTCTCTTGTGTTCTCATCAGACGCCGAGATGTCAGAAGATTTGTCCGTGGAGCTGCGAAGACAACCGACTTTCCGGTTACCATTTAATTTGCTCTTTCTGGGTACCGCTTATCCACCTGCTGCTATCAAGAGCTTTTAACGGCCTGCTTTCATTTTAATCAGCAAATTCATAGTGTTTCCACCAGCTAAATTACAGTGATCCAAATTACTCTTAATGCTTTTGTTTTTGTTTTTTTTTTTTTTTGTTAGCTGATTGTTGATTGCGCCTTAAATCACATGCAGGACTGTGGGAAATGATTTGTACCTTCACAGATTTCTCCTGTTTTTCTTTTGTTTTCTTGGTGTCACACTTAAATGATTCAAGTGAGTAAATTAAATACTTAATTTAAAAAAAATGATGTGGAGGATTTTTGACCCACTCCTCTTTCCAGAAAGTTTTTTTTTTTTTTTTTTTTTTTTAAGCAAAATTTCCAAGCATGAACAGCTTGTTTAAGGTCACACTAATCGTCTCAAATGGATTTCACAGTTAGAATCTGCTTTATTACACACGAGTGGCCGCTCAATGTGCCATCTTCAGTGGAAGAGTCCAAACGTGATTAAAGGAGCTCCAAAACCTTCATTTTTACACAATCCGAGTGTGCTTTAGATTAAGGTCACAAACTTATAGCTTATATGCCTTTAGCCAGGGGTCAAGTGAGGTCTGCAGGGTTCAGGGTTCGTCTGTGACCTCCTGGATCAATCGCTGATGCGTTCTCTGGAGTAACTTTGGTTGGCCGGCTTTTCCTGGGAAGGTGTTCCATGTTTTATTTGTGAATGAGAAACTGATTTTCTAACCAAAAGTGGCATTTCACAGCTCTCCACTCTTTACTTCTGACATCCGGATCCCACTTTTGCTCAAATGGAGATGTTTGATCAGGGTTTATTTTTCTACCTTCACGACCGCTCACAGCGCCCTCTCTCTCTCTTAGACTTTTCTAATCTACAAACTCCTCTTCCTCCAGTTTTTTTTTTTTTTTACACAATGTCTTTGCAGTTGAGAAGGATTAGCCATCTGGTCTGAGTGTGTGTGTGTGGGGGGGGAGCAGAGGAATCCACGGCTTCTGCTTAAGAAGCCGCCAACAGATGACAGACACGAGCTGCGGATTCAGATGCTGGGAATCTAGCGTCGGATCTCAGCTGTAGCCTACACATGAATGACCAGCTTCTGTTGGAAACAGCTAGGTCACATTTTCTCTGTGAGTAAACATGTTAATTAGAGCGGTGATTCCAGGGAAGCATCAAGAAAGAGGGAAATATGCACCCTTGGCTTAAGGATTAACGTATCACTGCAGCATGTTCCAAGGTTTATTTTTTTCACCTCATAAGTGCAGGTGGATTCCCAATAAACGGAAATATCACTAAGAAGTGATTTTGCTTCAGTGAAACTAATTTGATATGGATTCACGGCACACAGACTTTGATATTGCAGAAGTTGACAGAGTGCTGGGTCTAGAAATATTAACGGGAAGTTGAGTGGAGGAAGGTAGAAGAAGGTGGATAACCACTTCCAAACTGCTGAAAACGATTCACTAAAAGAGAAAGCTATACGGTAAAATGCATAAACTTACATAGATGTTATGTAAGGTATTGGCAGCTACTATTTTAACATCGCTTAAAATGAGAAGCCCATTTTTTCAAATGGTTTTATTTTGTTTACAGACGACGCTGTTTGATTTCAGAAATCATAATCTCACAGGTGCAACTGCGGGTTTGGTGTTGTGGAGCCAAATTTTGGCTCTCAGCCGGGAGGTAAGCAGGTGGAGAGCAAGAGATGGCTTTAATTAAAAAGAAAAAAAAACTGCACATCAACAGGAGCAGCTCTTATTTTGAAACACTGCCAGCCAGAACAAAGCAACGCTCAGTATGCAAGGATGCAATACAAGAAACCTGAAGTATGAAGTTTCACTCACCTCTGCATGCTAAATGCTTATAGGGGCTGACATTGCTTTTTTTTCTGATTAACATAGCAAACAATTCTTTGTCCAGTTGGGGGACATTAATAGACTGTGTGCAAAGTGTTGAACTGTCACCCCAAGAAGGTTAACATACGCTGTCAGGACTTTATCAAAATAAAGCAAATTTTAGATACACTTTTATGTGTGGCAATAATATAAATAATAAACATTGTGAATATAAACCGAGTAGACGAACTAGAAGCGTGCAAACCAAGCTGGAGCCACAACCAGCAGCCAGGTGGAGGTTATTCACCCAACTCTTTTCTGCCCTGATGCTCCTTCCACTCATTGCCCGTCTTTATGCCAGCTGAGCTGATCTCCTGACTTTGGCTTCATGTCTGCGAGAGAGTGCTGTCAGTCCTCTAATTTCATTCGAGCTGTGCTATATGAAGCCCCGCTGCATTAAAAATCTTTGTTTTGTGATTTATTTGCACAAAATCACACCTGCTCAGCGTTTCATTTGATAAAGAGCAAATATGACTGTGTTGAAAACAGTTATAATCTTCTTAAAATCTGGGCAACAGAAAAAAATAGAAAAAGGGGAAATTGCCTGCATAGGAGAAAGCATATTACATGCAACATATATATGCACGTGCAGGGAATTCAGTGGTGCATCCTCAATCGACCGCGGTGAGAGACTAAAAATAGCGCCGTCAGATGGGTGGGGGAGGGACAGGGTCATCCCTAACTGGATAAAAATAGAGCAACAACCAGATGGAGACAAGATGATAGAACATCAGGAATGAAGGGAAGTGGCAGGGGAGGGGAAGAGGAAGAAACTCGCTGATATTTGCATTCACGTGCCACCACACAGAGTCACAGCCGTGTCTTCGCCGCATCTAGATCTATTAGACTCTTCTCCTGAAGGCTTAACCTCACCCCTTACCCTTACCTCAAGCCATGCTTCACCTTGAGATTAAATTATTAACATCATGCCACTGCAGTGGCCGCGATGAGACTGTGCAGAGAATCCCACATTACAGTTTCATAGACCTACATGGCGAAGCCCAGCAGATTTGTCCTTGCACAAAAGACGAAGGGTTCATCCTCGGTGTGGAATCCAAAACTGCTCCTGGCCGTATTTCAGCTCGCAAAAGCATGCATGGTGTCTGCATGTCACCATGCATGATCACCCTCGCAGAACGCACGCGCTTACACCTGAAAACATGCATTATTGTTTTGGCACGCTGCTTTTTGAGGTGGCACGTGCTGCTCTCACATAAACAGACACTTGATTCTAAACAGTCCCTTCTCCACTCACCCCCCCCCCACCACCCCCAACTCCCCTGCTCCTCCACAGGCAAACCTCTGCTAAAATTAAACCTCTGTGATCTATAAATACCAGTCGGGCATGTGAGCCAAGAACTGGATGGAGAAGACGGAAAACAGAGGGTGTGAGAATGGTGACAGAGGGAGATGGATCAAGAGTGAAGGGAAGAATGAGAGCTGTGTTTTAATCAGCTTTGAGAGAAAATGTGCCCAACCCCCCCCCCCCAAAAAAAAACAAACAAAAAAAACATGTCTGCATGTAGCAACATGCTGACTGCAGGTCCACTTTAATGCAACTTGTTGAGATTTACAAATTAAACGAGCCCCTTCACATTTTTCATCTTAAGAACTCAAACAATTTCCATGCCTGCTTGACTTTGAATGGAGATGCTTCTTTGCAGTGCAGTGCTGTCTGTAAGCTGAATGGACATCAGCACTAATGCGGCTCTTGTGAATGGCGTTCGTTCCCTTTCACTTTTACTTTTAGTGACTCAGCTGCTCCCCCTCCTGATCAAAAAGGGAAGTGACAGCAACCGAAGTCAGAGGCATGAGAGGTTTCAAAAATATGAGGTCAAATAATGAATTAAAAAAACAAAACACTATTCGTTGTGTGTGCTATTTTAGTAATATTAAGAGGTTGATCACTGTTGTCACACAAGTTAGGTATTTGGGTTTAAGGTGGCCTATTCAGTAAAAGTCTAACTGGTGGTGGAAACGCTCTTCTGAATTGACCAGAACACAAAATAGCACTCGTGGAAATGATGGAGCAGAGGCAACGGTACCAAAAGGAGGGACGCAATTAAACATTGTATTATATGTATTACATGCAGTGTTTTTGGATGACTTTATATTAAGTTGATCATTACTCTTGTTTTATCATAACTGTAAGTAAAAGAGGTTGTCTAACAGCAGCTGTTAGTTTGTAAATTGTTAAGAATATGAGAACCAGCTTTAGAAGAGAGGAGAAAAATGTCTCTCCAATTTGTGATTCCCTCCATCCAGACAGACTATGAGAGCAACGGAGGCCTTGTGAAGAAACTCCCCTCCATCAGGGAGGATGAAGAGGGCTCCGGGTCTGAGGGGGAACACTCCCCTCTGCCTAAGATCTCTTCCTTGGGGAGGTTGGGCCGAGGCCTGCGCTCTCCCCTGCGCTCCCCGCTGCGTTCCCCGCTGCTGCCGCCGCGACCTTTCAGGCCGATAAGTGAGCCGGCTCGGCCCTCCAGCCTGCAGATCCCCGTGGTGAGCTTCAGCTGCCTGCAGCCGGACCTCAGTCCTCGGTAAGGAGCCAATTAACTTCCGTCTCTGTTGAACTTCACCCCGGCATTGATCTGGGTTAGTGCGATTCAGTCATCTAGAAATTCTTTAATGATGCTTCTATGATTTAAAAATGCAAAGAACGGGTACCTGTGCATCTGTCTTACTGTTTTACCGTCGCATCTCTGTCTAGCATGGAAGTAAACCCATTCATAAACCCCAGAAGACGGACTGTGAATCTAGGCCAGTCAGACACACTCTTCAGGTCTGCAGATGTATGGAAGTCTGGCTGGTAATTGTCATGCAGGTGTGTGCTGCTTCTCTCCAACAGCCCATCATCTGCTGTCGCTGAGAACGACCTCTGACCTTCCATCTTTTGACAGCTGGACAACGTCTCAGAAAAGCTCTCCTTGTAATGGCACATTTTTAGGCAGGTGCAGGAAGTCTCTGGCACTGAGATTTAAAACAAAAATAGAGGCAGGTTACAAGGCTACAATGTTTTCAGGATCATGAAGCGTTTCTTCTTTTGTAAAGACTTGAGAAGTCTCAGTGGCTTTTTGTTTGCTGTAACCTGGACTCCACACTGGCACCACGCACTCTCACACCACATCAGGATGCAGGAACGATACCACAGGTATCGTCTGTGCAATATACTTTTCTGTCCATGACCTGGATGTCATCTGGGAAACTTTGCACATATATGGAATAACCTCTAACCATTAGACCACAATCCAAGGAACAGCTAAGCAACAGCAAAATCCTCAAACTCACAGTCCTCTGGTAGAGGAAACAAACTTGAAGCGAATCCACCCAGGTCATAAGGGTGAGTGTGAAGTTATTACGCCAGTTTCAGTCTCCCCATAGATAAGAAGTATCTTCACTAGCTTATCAGCTTCATTTGGAAGCCTGCATAGTTTCCAGTACCAGCAGAACCAGAGTAGACCCATCATCACTCAGCCACTACCATGCCTCCAAATGGGCACGATGTTCTTTTCAGCATAAGCTTCATCTTAAAACTGACAAGTTTCAGTTTTTATTCTGGTCTCAAAACCTTTTGATGTAGTTGTTAGTAAACTGGAGGCGAGTTTTCTTGTGCTTTTTGGGTCTATGGTGGTGTACGGCTTGGAGTTCAAGCATGAAATCCTTCAAGACAGTAACATTCAATCAGGAGTTTGTTGTAACCAAGTGATTCCTCAGAAATCTGCAGGTGGAAGTTAACTTCCTCTGTTGGCCAAATGCAGGTGTTGTAACTTCTGTTCTTAGCAAGAAATGCTTCCTACTGTATTTCTAGGAAGATTCAGTGACTTTGTTTAGTTTGTGACCTCTTCTCTGAATGTTTTAGAGAATTATATCACCATATATTTAACATGCAACAAAATGTTACAATGAGCAGTCCAGGTATTTGAGGTGTTTTACTCCAAATACAGATGATGGGGCCAATAAACCCATTTATTGCTCCTGAAACTGGGTTTTATTTGCAAAATGCCTGCTTTTTTTAGATGAATTCTGTGTAGGGGATTAAATCATTTTCGGCACAACTATAAATGCTGCTTCTCAGGAATCACCCAGGACTCAGACATAATATGCTTTGGTTGTAAATTCCTGCACAGACAATAACAACGCTACCATTAGCACTGCCACCTTTTTCTGCAAACTGTCTCATTAGCATAAATTGACTGAGGCTATTCCTGCTCCCAGAGGGACGGACGTTGCTTTCGCCGCCCTGAGGAGAAGCTGTTTTGAGTCCTGCCATTAGGAGAGGCAGTGGATTAAATCATGAATCAAGTCGAGAGTAAAAAATTTAATTGAAATGTTTGCTGATAGTCTCTGGCTGTGCCTCAATTATATCTCTAATTAGAACTTTAATAGAGCTCTGTGGGATTGGTTTATTATTACAGCATCTCTACAGCACTAATGACGACCCTCTACTCTCTATCAAGTCTGGTGCTAAATCTAATTAGTGTTTTGTTTTTGTCTGCTGTGGAGAGTAAGCGTCTTTTTTGCGTTAATAAGGTACATTTCAATTCTAGTTAAATGCCGTGTGTGCCGTTATTTTTAATGATCTGCTGCCCCCATGTGGAACTTATTTCGTACTGCATCATAGTTTTTTTTTGTTTTGTTTTGTTTTTTTAACCAAGCTAGATTCTCGGTCACTGACAAGGATCTCTCAGTTTGAAATGACTTCAGATCTTTTTTTTTGCTACGAATCCTCAGGTTTGTGGACGGGATTGAGACTGAAAACCACACCAGCTCAGCTCAGAGGTTTGACTTTTCCCCCAGTGCGACGCAGAGTTTTCTGCCCAGGCCTGATTCAGCCACTCCAGGTGACAGTTTGCACAAAAAATGACTACAAAAAGCAACAGATAAGTCGATCTACGTTCAACAGCTTCCGGTTTTAACTCACTGTTATGTGTACCCAGGAGCCCAGGATGGAGGTGACACCATGGAGACTATAGAAAAGCTAAAACATGAGGTAAAATGGAGATTTAATTTATTGTCTTATTTCAAGTGTACAACGGTGTTTGTACTAGAAACTAGATCAAATATTTGATAAGATTTTGTGATTTTTGCCATGCAGATTTGAATGAAATCCTAATAAAACATCATACGGCTGCTGTTTTCCCTGTATTCTTCCTTTACCTCATTAACTGCACAGTGATTTGCACAAATGCACAACAACTTGCAGTGTTTCTCCTCCATCTCTCATCTGTTTCCCTAGATGTGCGTCCTCTCACGCCAGGTAACAGCTGTGAGTCAGGAGCTGCAGGAAATGACCCGCCTCCTCAAGCCTCTCTTCCACAACTCGTCCACGCTGCTGATGCCCTGCACTGTGACTCCGCCCCCCAGCGTGTCCCCTCGCTGCTACTCGCCAGGCCCCGCAGTTTTCACCCAACAGGCTCCGGCGGATCCGCCGGACGGACGAAACGAGGCGGACCTCCACTCACTCAGGCTGGACACGGGCGCTGAATTTCAGGGGCAGTTTGATCCCCTCCGTTGCTCCCTAACCATCTCCCCTCCCCTGGCCTCCCAGCAGACCCACCCCGCCGCTCCCCCGTTCTCTCATCGCTCAGCTCCCCCTTCGCTCAACAGCTCCCCTCATGAGCACGCCGCTGTGTCGCACCCCTGCCTTTCGTCCTCCATCCCCTCCCTCCCATCGGTCACCACTCCCCTCCTGGTAGATTTATCAGAACCAGGCACCAAGCTGCAGACCCTGACCCTCCCAGCAGCATCCCACTCACACATCCAGCCCTTTTTCCAAACCTCCAGCATGGCAACAACAAACTCCCAGATGCCCATACTGAACCTGCATGATGTGCAGCTCAGCTTCGTCGATGAGGGACGGCCGTCAGTGTGACTGGACTTTAAATCAGATCTGAACCGACGGAGGCGACACGACTTACTGCATGAACAGTCTGCCCGAAGTTTGCCATGTTACAGTGTAAATATGATGTTTTTAAGCTGTTCTCATGAGCACTCTGTATGAAATCTGATAATAAACTTGCTAAGCAGTTTTACTTCACGTGTTTGGCACTTCAGTGGTTTTAGAAACAAATGAAGGGAATTCTGGGAATTGGAGGAAGTAAAGGTTGTTCCCATCCTCAGGTTTGAATTATTAACTTTACAGATGCTCGTCTTTGTTAAGTTTGGGCGTTTAATGATTTATTTTAACTATTTTTGTCCAGAATGGTGTAGCTACGGCTGCCTGGTGGCGCAGTTGGTGACACTGTTGCCTTGCAGCAAAAAGAGTCTGAATGTGAACTGCATTTAAAACCAGAATTAGGTGCTTAAGTTTGAGTTTAGCTTTTTTTTTAGTATTTGTTTTAAAATCCTCAGACGGTCGAAACGACGTATACAGGCTTCAAAAAAGTTGAAACCAGCAGTTTAAATACACTGACTAGGAGAAAAAAAAAAACAATTTTGTTCCTTATTCCCATGACAAATTGTGTCACTCTAGACTTTTGTTTTTTGTTTTCAGTTAGTTCGAACTACCAAAATTATTTATATTCCCTACGTTCCAATGGCTTAACCAGAAGAAAATAAAGTTTTCAAACAAAAACTCATAAATCTGGTAACGACCTGGAGGACTTAAGAGGCAAATATCAAGATTTGCATGTTAAGTGTGCACACACTTACACAACTACGCACTGAAATACTGCAGTACTCTAATCAGATATTTAATCCCTCAAACTGAAGTGTTTTTTTAAGTTCTGAAGATGCAGGGTCACACGAGGATTGTTGTTTGTGGTCTCCTTTGATGTATATTCGCTTGTGTTTATGAAAAGTCTTATTTTGGCCTCTTTTATGCCATCTGAGCCCTCTGTAATTCAGACAAGTGCTTTGTCATGGGAACCAGATCCAAAATATGACTCCATGGTTCCACTGCTGCTCGTGTTTCTTCACCCGCCCCCCAGAGTGAAGATGAGGAATTACTCAGCGAAAAAAAAAAAAGAGTTCAACCACTGACCACTGGAAACCTCACACTCTTTGATGATTGTACACAATTTCAAACAAAAAGAGGTTCTCTGTTGTCTTGGGTTTCTCATGTGGTGGGAGGGAAGAAAAAAAAAATCAACTTGTCAGCTGCCTGCGCTCTGACTAAACCGTAACATCAACAGACGCCTCTAATGATGATTTTCCTGTTTAAATTTATGCTTAGATTAAGAAAAGAGAGGAACAAATTAACAGTTGGACTGCTTTAAATCAAGTCAGGTAAGTGGAACACAATCACATCAATGAGGAACAACCCCACTTTTAACTATCAAAATATGCTGTAACACATATTTATGTAATTTCCGTTTTTAACTTAATAAATTGTACTTTTGAAATATAAAAATATGAAGAAATTTTTAATAATAAAAAGAAATCAGAAGTTACAGTTCTGGCAAGTTGTGAATCCAAGCTTGGAAACGCAGCACCCTCATTGGTTCAACGTCGTTACCACGGAGTCACCACAGTGAGGCAGCATTTCTATTTCTACCATCTACTCCAGTCTGGGGTCCTGTGTGGGTTTCCTGCTGGATGAACATTTGTTAGGGGAGAAATGACAACTATTTTTGTTAGAGCTGTACCAGCAAACAGGAAATCTCTCTATTTTTGAGTTAAAAAAAAAAAAAAAGATTTGAGGTTATAACAGCTGCGTATGCACATCTAGTTTATTGTGTCTTGTTGTTTCTCCCGCAGTTATTTAAATAATAATACAGTACAGTCTGTGTGTATGTGCTTCTGTACGTGTGGAATGATGAACTACAGTGGATCAATGCACTGATCCATCATCACTGGGATTTACATTTTTTAAGTGAAATGAAATCCGAAAAGAGCGTTTTGAACCACTGAGAAATCGTCTGAGCCTTTTCCACCTTAACCTCAGGTAAGATGCTTCTGATCTGCCATCTCTGTTGCCGCTGTACGTTTTTTTCCCTTACTTTTTCCTGCCACCTAACTTTCCATTCACCAGCTACATACAGCATTGCATAAAGTTTCTTCAATGTCTTCAGCAAAAAAAAAAAAGAAGCAATTTCCCCAATTAATTGTGCTACTGTAATTAAGATGCATACTTCCATCTGGGATATTAACCCTATATGTCTATGTTAAACATAATACAATAAATATATATACATTTCTTTTCATCTATGTGGTTGCTGACTTGCCTCCTACTTCTGGCACTAACTATAAGACAATAACATTATTTTGTAGCTGTATTGATTTTATTTTTCTAGCATTGCATTTTTTTTCCTTTGGAAAATAATCTTGTGGTATTGAAAATGTTATTGATTATCAAGTATTTTTCTTAGTATCAGGACCAAGTTTGACAATTAAGGTTCACAACTAATTTCCCCCCCAATCCCCCACTCTGTATACACAATGCTATTTCCTTATCTCTAACACATCTTTTTACTTAAGAATAGCTTCAACAACATGTGAAAATGATTTACTCTGACACTATAATGCAACCAGACCCTCATGTCCTTAGTGAGCACACACACACACACACACACAAAATAAAATGAAATAAAAGTTCATCTAAATTTGTTATTTCCTGACTTTAAATGTTTAATGTCAATTAGAGTTATAAAGATATAAAAACGAGCAAATCAGTACTGGAAGTTGACGTTTCTGATCGTTTTAAGTGCTTGTTCCTAAGTTCATAGGCAGTGTGTAAGTTAGGTAACATAAACACAATCAGGAGAGCCTGATGATGAACAACATGAGTCTCTGCTGAAGCAGGTTAAGACCCTGGCTTGCTTTCATTCAAGCCTTGGGAAGCCACTGCTGAGCCTACATGATGCTGAGTGACTTGCGGTGGAATGTCAAACACGTTTAAGATGATTCTGCACAGGTGGGGTGTTGGCAGCGCCGAAAACCACAGAGGAGGCAGACGGGCTGAGTGGTAATGATAGGTGACGATTCCTCCATCTTAAATAAATCAAAAAGTGCTGACCACGCTGTTGGTTAGCAGCAGGCCTGTGATTTGGACAAGCCAGTGATGAACAGACCGCGCATGTTTGGGAAATCCTGATCAGGATGGCCTAATTTTTGTTGCCCTCCTTAAAAAGAGAAGAATATATATATTTTTTTGATGATTTATTAGCTGAGGCATTTTAACCTCTGACCAGTCATGTTATTTTTTTTCTCCCTCTGTTCCCAGTCATGCCGGGCCAGCTGCCACATACTTCCTGCAAATGAGTAACAACATGGATCCTGTGAAGTCATTCCCTTAAAAAAAAAAAACCACACAATATGCGGAAAGACTAATAACAACTCATGAAACAATTGAAATGTACCTACTAAAATAGATCATAAAACTAAATACTAGTCCTTTATAAAAGAAATCAAGAGAAAAATGAAAAATTAGGTGATCTTTTAAACAAAAAGGTACTCCTGACTCAGTGTTTAGCTGCTTCTCTGCTGCACTCTTTATTTTTTTTGACATAGAAAGTACTGCTGGTCATGCGCTTTACTGTTTACTTTTGTTTCTATTATAGGGAGCGCAATTGACAGAACCATTACTGTCATTATATTTGTGTTTCTCTGAATGTCGTCCCTTTCCAAAAGAAAATCCTCCTGACTCAGCACTCCTGTGTTAACCTGTGTCTCTTATGGAAATATTGTGTAAGATCAATAAAAGGGATGTTTTAAGCGGAAAGATCAGGTTTCTGAAAAATATATTCATTCTGTACTTGGTTGGGGCTCACTGCATCAATGCGGCGTGGCGTGGAGCTTGTGGTTCTGCTGAGGCATTTGGAAAGCTGAGGTTGTTTTGACGTCATCTTCATCTCCGCTTTCCAAAATGAGTGAGAAAAATTATTTTTCACGATATTCTAGTTGTTGTTTTTGTTGTTTGTTTTTTTAGATGTACATATAGGTGTATGTTAATGAGTGCAAAAGAATACATTACAAAAAAGTGTCCGAAATTAAAAGAAACACTGACTGCACAAAGGATTGTGGGAAATATTGTATTAAGGAAACAGGAATATGAACATTTCAGCCTGTATCCAAAAAAAGTGGTGTCAAGGAAATTAAACTATGTTTTATGGTTTCCCATTTCACCAGCAGAGGGGACAAAGTACTCCATCTGAGAAGCCAAGATAAAACTTCTAAAAAATGGTCAAAACTTCAGTATTTTCTTGAAAATTATGGATGTTCAGTCAGATGCACCCACTTCTAATTATACAGTATCAAGGTGTGACGTTCACATATTAATCACCTTCCATCATATTTCCCCCCCACCCTCCTCCTGTTCTCCTGCCATCACAGCATCTGGGACATTAATAAGCTTTTCTAAATCTGTCATCACATTACTCATTTATGGTTTGAAATAATAAAGAAGCGCTTTGAATTCCTACAAGATCTCAAGCTAAACATTTACTTGGTGCTTTTTTTTTTGACTTAAAGGAATGTTGTTGTTTTTCTTGTTTGGAAGGAAAAAAGATGCAGTTGTTCATACATGTTGTTTTGCCTCAGGATTTCCCTCCCTCCACTTGCTCCCTCCCTCCTTTCTCTACATGTGTCATTTTACATCTCCTTACCCCGTCGGCAGCAGCAGTCTGCCCTTGTCACTCCTCCTCTGTGCATCTCCTGCTCTGCGTTCTGTCAAGAAAAAGGGGGAAACGTTGGGAAATTCACATTTTGTTTTCAGGCTGGATTCACTCGTTTTCACAAATGGATGGAGTTTGTCGCCCGGCGTGCACAGTGACTTCCTAAAAAGTGAGTGAGTCTTTGCTGGAAACTTTTCTATCAGGCGTGAAATGTGCTTGTTTTTTTTCTTGTTTTTTTTTTTATGAAGCACATATGTGAACTTATAGAAAAGCCTGCAAAATAAGAATTATTCCACTGACTTTATGGCAATATTCTGTTTCTTTCTATGTAACTGCATATGGATTGAACCTGTTTGGTGTTTTGACATTTGTTATAATTTGGCAGCCGCAGGCAAATGCATCATGTTTTTTTTTTTTAGATGTTCTAGATTTCAAAACAGAAAAAAAATATATATTGTATTTTTGTAATCAGTTTTTATTTAAACAGTTATTCTTCTTAACACTTAAATGGTTGGTTACTATACAATACCTACTGTCTGCTTCTGGTTGACACATTTTCAAAATTTAAGAAAATATAAAAATTAGATGCTGTGTTTATTCTGAAAATATGCTTAATAAAGCTTAGCATAAAACAGAGGGGGTACAGACAGACCAATACTTCAAAACCTAAATAGTCCTAGTTTTAAAGCACAAAAAAGGGGGCAGTATGGCAATAAATAAAATTTTGTCCAAAACTTGACTCGAGTGAAGAATATTTTATAACAAGATAAATTGTTTTTACTCAAATTTACTTAAAAATGTGCAATTTAACTTCTAGAAACCTGAATATTTAACTTTTTTAATGTCAACAATCACTTACCCATTAACCGCTCCCCCTTTTAATCCTACAATTGGTTAAACGCAGCTGCAGCTAATAAAATTATTAATATGTCTGATTAAGCATTCGTCTAAGCATTAATAATTAGTCGTTTTGTTGTTTTTTCCCTCTCACATTAGGATTACATTGTGATTTCAGTGCTCCACTTGGCACACCTGGATCAAACGGAGCCATTATTAGCTTGATTTTATTAGCCGCAGCTGTGTGTTTTTGTAGCACACCGAGCTCTGTTTTTATTTGGCGCTGCCTCTGGACTGACGACGACCATACAGTGAGTGATGATGAGCATTTATGTATGCCGGATTTTATATAAGGACATGAACATTTAGGAAGCGTAGTAAAGATATTAATTTGCCTTAAATTAGCTGTTATCAGTGACTTTTTCTCTAAAAATACAGATTATTTCAAGGGAATTTGGTATTTATGGGAAAACTGGTAATTTGTTTTGATTAATTTTTCAAGGTAAAGTAACAATGAGACTAATGAAGCTTATCGCTTAAAAGTGCTTAAAATTCTCAAACATATATAAAATAAAAATGTCAAAAAGCTAGCACTTAAAAGATAAGATGTTTTTATAGCTTTGCTTTGAAACGTTCACGGTTGAATAACCCAAAAATTACCTTTTTTTTTTCTTTTTTTTATTTTTTATTTTTTTGCTAGAACAAAAAAGGATGAACTGTGGCATTTGAAATACGTCATTTAAAATAAGAATATGAGTAGGCTATAATATATAAGTAAACTATAAGAATTTGGTCAGTCATTCCAAATAAGTTAAAGTAGCTTATTAGGGGGAGAAATGCTGAATTTTGAAGTGCTTTGATATTTGTTTCACCATATCAGCAATATCCCATTCTCTTTTTCATAAATTCACGTGGATTCAGTCAGCATATTGATATTATTTTCATTTAAAGTAGATATATGCTTGGTGTGTGTAATTATAATTGATCCACAGGAGAGCAATAAAAATTTTCTAGGCCACTAATCTCATCTAATAACTGATTCCAATTCTAGAATTTTCTGTCTTGGCTATTTTACCAACTTGTTTGTTTGAATTCTCTGAAAACTTTCCTACCAGGTTTAATTAACCTGCTATCCAATTAAAATCCCTTTTAAATCATCTGAACTCACTCAGGAGAGATTTCATCAGACCCAGACCCCCGGAAAGACCCTTAAACCTCTGCCACACACACTTTGCATTAAACCCCTGTCTTAATAAATCAACTTTTATGTGCGCTTTGTCAATCAGCGGCTACCGAGTGCATGACATTTGTCCTCCATGTGCGCTAGTAAAGGGAACACAGTCTGTGCTGGGAGTGTGTGGTCTCTTGAGCTGTACACCCACCTAATATGTTGCTTGAAGTGGGTTTTATGTGCGTTTTAGGCCGCCCAAAACTTAAATCAAGGCTTTCATTCTGAGTGTTTATTCAATTAACATTTAAATAGATAGTAATTAAGTTGAAAATGTAAGAAATAAAATGTGAAATGGTCCTTTAGTGTTTCTATTCTTTTTGATATAGGCTCTCGTAGTTCGTAGCTCTGCATGTTTTTGGGTCCCCTCACGAATGACTCAAGCTTACAGCATTTTTTTTAGAAATTTCCAGAACATTTTCACCCAGAAAAAAAAAAAAGGGTGGCAAAAAATTCTGTATTATTCTAATGTGTGTCATTGATGGATTCCATACCATCTTATTCAGCAGTACTTCCATCATTGTGTCAGACGTTTCCAAAGAAGAAGGCTATTTTTCTTTTTTTTTTTTTCTGACCTCTTAAAATTTTTTACGACACTCCTTTTAATTCAAGTTGCATATTTATTCCTCATGCAATAGCTTTCCTTGTGTGTTCTTCAAACACCACAGCCATCCTTCTTTTTTTTTTCTGTTCCCACATTTTATGTCTCCCTCATTAATGGCTTGATAATTGCTCTCGTTAGAGGAGGAAATATGAAGCAGGGGAGAGGTGGGGGGGCTGAAGGGATGGGAGGGGGGTCGGGGGCTATTATAATCCATTACCCCAAATATTCCAAAAACGTGTTTATTAGAAGCAGATGAAACTCAAGCTGAGGGAGCACTTTGTATGTCTGAGCTGCATCAAACCTTTCCTGCGCTGTACTAAAATGCATATTTGAGGGCATTTACTGAGAAAAAGTAAAGGAGGGTAAGGAGGGGGGGCCGATGAGTTGACTGGAGAAGATTTTAGATGTTTTGTATTTTTTTTTTTTTAGGCTTTTGGTGGAAGGGGTCATTAAATCAAGATAAAGGATTGATGGGTGAATTAGAAAAGGCAGCGTGGGATGGACAGCTGCACCCAGAGGGACTCTGATGGGAGGAGAGCGGCCTCTCGGTGATGCAACATCTGTTGTGGAGAAACATAAGAGGGAGGACATTTTGGCCACACACTTGACTACAACGTGCAACTAAAGTGTAAAACTCAACTGTAAAATGATCATTTGATTGTATTTAGGCATTTGGGAGCAGTGAATCAAAAAACACGTATTTGATTCAGAACGGAGAGCTTTAAATACGTTTATTTCAACGTAATGATTGAGGATTGACTCCCTGGTCCTCTCTTCAGCAACTCCTGCCGAGTCTGGCTAGTATTAACTTTGTGTGAGATTTGAGCCCAGACTCAAAACTGCTGTCATTTGTGGAAGCAAAACAACACAAAAAAAAAGAGGAAAGAAGCGTTTAGTTTGTTGTTGGCCCTTTGTTTCTTTTGGGGTTTTTTTTTTCTGATTTTGATTGTTAAAGAAATGTAGAAAATCTGACTTCTGTCAATTCTAGACAGTTCAGGTATAAGACTGTCACGGTCTTATATCAGGTTCAGCAAAAGAAGATATGATCTAAAATTGTTCCCATTGCAGAAATAAAATTTACATCCAGACATTTATCTTTTGTTGCTGCAAAAACTGAAGAAACGACAAGCACCACTAAAAGTAGTCATATTTTGGTAAATGTGCGTTTTAGACAGAATTTGTTTTACTTTTCTGCTCTTTATAGAGTAATGCAAGTTTAACAAACTGTTATTAGCCGGCTAGTTGGGCTTTCTGGTTTGTTAGCTAGCCGGATGCCTGCTGTAGCTTTAAAGTTGCTTTAGAAACAATGAGTGATGAGTTGCGTTCCTTTAGTTTCTCCATCACTGCATGACAACTGCAAGTGACCAGAATGGGTAGTATCCCCTTTCTTTTCAGCCAGCTATCTGGCAGTGTGCAGCAACAAGTGCGGCTTCTTTGCCATCTAAAAAGTAGTAAAGGTCAGAGAAATACTGCAGTTTTGTAGTTAAAACTTTACAAAAATTGGATGTTTTGTAAAGGTTTGTGTCTCTGCAGTGAATAACAGTAAATGTTGGCCAAAGTATTTTCCATTCACATTACATGGACTTGCAACATGCTACATTAAAATTTCATTTCATACAGCTTCATATGCCATTTGATCACATCTTTAAATACTTTTTTGGGAGGTCTCAAACTATTAAAGGCGATTTATAACTCATTTTGCAAATGCGGCTCATTTAGCCACTTCTGCATCTGATTTAAACATCATTGTTTAATGTTTCTTTTAACAGAAATTAAGTCGGTCAGAGCAGAAAGCAGCGTTATTTTCAGGTCCTGAAGTCAGATTTAGATCTCATTAATTATTCCAGATGATCATAAGTTGTAAATCCACCTTTTAAAGTATCTTGTATTTTATAATTTTACAGGAAAAAATTTAAATCTTATGCCCGAGTTCCAACAATTTGAGTTTTCTAGAAAGTAAAGAAAAGCAAAGGCATGTTTTGGTGAGTAGTTGTTTAGGAACAATGGAGAGGGAACAATTGTTCAACTCAGGTCTTAGATTTCAATAAACTGATACTTTCAACAAAGATTATTGCATTAAAATTCATATACAAATACTTTTGGGTAAAAAAAGAAACAGCTTTATGGGTTTGATTTCTATCAGCAGGATTAGGAACTTGGACTTCGGCGATACTGTGTGCAGGTTGAAGCTAAAGAAATCCTTCCAGAAATGTGAAGATCAAATACAGAGACTTAAAATGACTCCTTGAGCTCAGTTGTATTTATTTGTAACTACAGTGCATTGTTATAATATTCCGTCCACGCCTTAAACGCCTTCACGTCTTTCATGGTAGCCTGTTGTGTACTCCTGTGTCTAAACAGAGGATAATAAACAGTTCTGTATTTAGTCTGCTGTGGCCGTCCATGCCTCCTTTTTCTGTAAATAACTAAGATATTGGTTGGTTGTATTGACTAAAAAAAAAAAAAAAGAAGAAGCAGAGTAAGATTATATATCGTCTGTGAGTAAACGTATGAGCAGTCTCATGTCACAAGTGACGGTTCTGCATATGCTATTAAATCACGCTGGTGTTTAAGTTTTAAGACTGTCCCTCATACAATGGCTGTAATTATCGGGCCTTTTCTCGAGTTACGACCGTAGATCTTCCCTTTTCTCCAACAGCGTCCTACACCGTGCTGGGCGCTCCTTTCAAAAGTTATCCTGGGATGGAGCAGTGCGGAGGAATGGGAGGGGGGCCGGAGAGCCCGGACCTTCCTGACCAAGCCAGTCCGGAGGAAAGGGGGGCAAAACCCGAGAGCCCGGCCTGCAGCGGACCCCCACAGTGCAAGATGAGCCGCCTGGAGGTGAACGGCAGCCCGGCTAACCCGCAGATCCAGCAGAACGGCAGCACACCACTGAGACCGCTGGGAGGTAAGGTGGCAAGGATTCCACACAGAGACCAGCACGAACATCTAAATATAATATTTTTAGATGTGAAATTCTCTTGTACTTGAGCATAAGCAACAAATCAAAGAACTCGCATGATAAATTAATATTAGTGCAATAATCAACAGCTGCTGTTAAGAGAGATGCTCACCTTTTAATATCGATGAAAAGCGTTTTGAGAAACGCCTCAAATATTTGACACCCAGTATGACCCAGTTAGTTTGAACTAAATGCCACTTTTGCCTGTTTTCCCCATCTAAACACTTTTCTTTTCTTTTTAAGTGCAATTTTGGTTACTGAAACTTCATAATCTAATTTACTTAGTTTCAGTTGTTTTATTTTGAACATTTCAAATGTTTTCCAGTCCCAGTAGGGTATTTTTGTTTTTTTTTTAGAATTTAAAGGTTTTTTTTGTCTCTATACTTGCAT